TATTAATCAGCAGTTTGCAACGCATTGAAGAATACATTTCCGACCCTATAAAGTAATATATATATATTCTTGATCGGCATCACTAGGAGAGTCTGTCTAGCCATAGCCGCCCGTCCGTCCTCGCAAAATAGTCTCTCAATTTAAAAGCTATCTCAACGAAACTTTCCCAAAATTCTTCCTTTTATATAAGTCAAAACGGAGCGAACCAGACGACTATGTTAAATATTTCGATGATTTTTTAAAATACTTTGCGATGACTTACTATTCAGAACTATGTTTTTAGTTTCATTTGAATCGAAGAACTATCATAAAGCTGTCATAGGAACGCTAAATCCCATGCAAAAATATGTTATTTTGAAATTTTTTTTTATGATCATCATCACTTTAAAAGCCATCTAGACTTGCCCGTCCGTAAGAACGTCGAGTTCGCGGGAACTATAAAATCAAGAGAATTGGAATTACAAATTGTAGGAACATCCCGCATATGTTTATTCGGTCAATATCTATCAACCGATTCAGAAGTGTTTAAATTCGAACCATAATTTTAAAAGTTATAAGATAAATGTACATTTTTTTTATATTTTAAAATTTGAGGTTCTGATCGTAAATTCTCGAACTGTAAGTCACAAAACTTGATATATGTGCTTTTGAGATTACAAAGCTATATATACATAATATACAAACAAACAAGAAAACAAGCAAACTTCGGCAATCCGAAGTTTATTTACCCTTGCAGTTATCACAAAAATTTAATATTCATGAAAGCATTTAAAAACCTTGAATCTATGGTGATTTTCAGTTTAATTATTCGATCGTTCCTACGACAGCTACGTCATATCGTTTTCAGATTTGAATAAAATAAAAAGAAAACAAGAAATGAAGCTAACTTCGGCAAGCCGAAGTTTATTCACCCTATTGGAAATATTCTTGATCACATCAAAATTATGATTGACTTGCGTGTATGTTTATTTCTGATAATTTCTGATTTAATTCTGAACTGTCAAATTATTAATTAATTAAATAGAATTTCTAAAAAATATTACAAAATAAAAAGGTTAAATTTAATTTTTTTTTTAATTGTTTCCATGGGAGCTCTATGTTTTAGTCGTCCTATCCGGCTCGCTTCAACTTATATACTACCTGCAATAGAAAGACAACTTTTGGGAAAATTCATGCAGATAGTTTTATAACTGAGAGACTAGTTTGCATAGAAACGGACGGACAGACGGACATGATCAAGAATATTTATACTTTATAGAGTCGGAGAAGTCTCCTTCACTGCGTTGCAAACTTCTGACTGAAATTATAAAACCCTCTGCAAGGGTATAAGAATAAAATCAAATTATTATGTCCAAAGGAATTTGTTAAAAAAAAATGCAAAAAAAAGAAGGTTAATTGTAATTTTTTTGTTTAATTATTCCGATTGTTCCCATGGGAGCTATATGATATAGTTATCTGATTTTGATGAAATTTAAACTGTTATTTTGAGATATTTGACCATTACTATATGTCCAAGAACTAACAAAAACTAAAAAACAGCAGTTATAATTTTTTAAATTTACTTTTCCGATTGTTCCTATGAGAGCTATATCCCTTAAATATAGGAAAATATTCCTGTCTCCTATTGACAAGGGCGTTTGTATGCTGCATTAAGCCAGTGCTAGTAAATGCTGGTCTCAGTGCTGTGAACTTTTCAAAAGTAATGTTGAGAACCAGAGTTGCCAAAGGCGATGAAAAAGGTCCCAACGAGATTCGTTTTGCACAAATAGAACATTAAATTAAGCGGTAATAATAAGAAAAACACTTTTAGATTTTACTTTGAAGAAATGCCTATATTACCATATTTAAACGAACACAAAAAGCGTGCTTTTTTGACAACCCTTGCAGCCTCCCCTTCAATTCGTTCGGAAACAATGGCAGGGGCGGCGAAATTGCTAAAATGCCGAAGTCAAGAATCAAATCGATTCTGAGACGCAATCACAAAATAATTTGTAACATGTCAAATATTTTTTAATAAACCAAATTTGTAAAGCAATAATATTCTTAAACCATTAAAGAACAAGAAAGGAAGCAAACTTCGGCAAACCGAAGTTCATATACCCTTGCAGCTATTGCAAAATCTAAATATTCTTGAAAACATTAAAATTATGATTTACTTGCGTAGTTTAAAAACATTGAAGCTATGATGATTTGCAGCTTAATTATTCGATAGTTCCTATGGCAGCTATACGATTGTTCCTATGGGAGCTATATGCTATAGTCGTCCGATTTTGATAAAATTTAAACCGTAATTCTGAAATATTTAACCATTACTATATCTCAAAGAACTAAAAAAAAAATTGAAAAACACCAAAGTTATAATTTTTTTCATTTATTTTCCCGATTGTTCCTATGGGAGCTATATGCTATAGTCGTCCGATCCGGCTCGTTCCGACTTATATACTACCTGCAATAGAAAGACAACTTTTGAAAAAGTTTCATGCAGATAGCTTTAAAACTGAGAGACTAGTTTGCATATAAACGGACGGACAGACGGACGGACAGACGGACATGGCTAGATCGACTCGCCTACTGATGCTGATCAAGAATATATATACTTTATAGGGTCGGAGATGTCTCCTTCACTGCGTTGCAAACTTCTGACTGAAATTATAATACCCTCTGCAAGGGTATAAAAATTTGTGTTGGTGAAACAAGTTATGGAGAAATTAATGCAAAAGAAATAAAGTCGATAGGACCGCTACAAAGGGTACCACATAGTATCTGCAAAAAAAAATTTCAGGCAAATCGAAAATTCCAGAAATTTTACACCGTAATACTTTATCCAACTTTTTTTTTTATCGTGGGGAAGTGTTTGGTCAATGTGACCATTGTTTTTTAACCAATTTTTTCGATCTTTTTGAATAATTAAAATATACTTATAATCGAAAATTTTTGAAATCAGAGGCAGACGCGATAGAGAATAGTATAAACTATTTCTTTTAAAGGAAATCGGCTTTATCTCCTAAAATAATTCGAATTTTGAAAAATCTTTAAAAAAACATATTTTTAAAAATATTCAAAATATGCAAAAAAATCGATTTATTTTACATTTCGATACCAAAATACCCCCTGAAACGCTTTTTCCGGAAATAAGTTTTTTTAGCCATAAAAAAAAAATTGTTTCCCAATTGTTCACAAAATATATCGCTATGTTTTGCCGACTAGGATTTTCTTCCCCTTTTTTTTAGCCCCTGCATAACTTTTGCTAATGGCAACATAAAATCTGTCCTGGGGAAAAAATAGTCGACGTAACTACTATTGTAAAGAATACCAATTTCAAATCTATGCCGTAGAACCTTTGTAACCAACTCCCTAAATAACCACTCAATTGCTCGCCTCGAGAGCAGAAGACCCCATTATGAAATTACTACTAAATGATCAAAATAATAAAATTTTAAAGGAAACATTTTTAAATTACACAAACCGTTTATTGACAAATTTACACATTTCTGATTTACGGTGATACATTTTTATAATAGCGAAGATGAAGTTTTTTTTTGACAGCCTTTAGAATGTCCCTGCAACAGTATCCATTATTGGGTGTACACATAACGGAAGTCGTAAACAATGTTAGTCCCTTATTAAAAATTCAGGCCGTGTTCTTGTCTCTTCTGACTAAGTTTAGTCGATCAGGCGAATGTGAAAATAACCAATTTCAATTATAAAATACGTCACAAAATGAGCTTAGATTTGAAAATACAAAATACTGTTTATGGGGTTATGACACTAAATTGTTGACCCCATTCATAGCAGCAATTGACAGAGCTGATAACAAAAATGCCAGCCAGGTTTCGTTATAAAAGTACTGTTCGATAATATACGATTAAAATATTATAAAACAAAAAGTAGAATTTGGATCAATCATTTTGTAGATAAAAAAAAAACCTGTACTGTGCTCAACCCCAAATCATTTTAAAAATTGAAACATATTCATATTAAAAGTTCGAAACCGAAACATGGAATTATGTAGATAAATATTTTCGAACATTTAAAATTAAGAACTGCAAAACTTTAAACGTTAAAATTAGCAGGATAAACATGTTTTAACAATAATGCCTAGTACTCAGATCGACGAACAGTTACACCAGCGTAAAAATTTTATTCTTTCTTTATAAATGTTTTCAGCTATATTTTGCACCGCGTTCAACAAAAGTGTCATAGAAAGGGATGCGTAATATTTTGTAGTACTTCAGTACTTTTAATTTAAGGTTTTGCATACAATTTTTAAAATTGGATGATACCCTACTGAACCGACTGTTGACTGGTAATTATTCGGCGCGCTGCAATAAAAAACTTTGTTGGAGCGGTCGAAGCAGAAATTTGAAAAGTGCTCCTTTTTAGTCATCACAAAATTTGGTATTTTGAGGATTGAAAGTGCGATCGCCACGATTGTTTTCCTCGTTAAAATTTTTTTTTTGTTTGATTTATATCAATGATGTATGATATATGTACATTTATTATAAATTATGTTTAACAGTTATTTTTTTCCAAATGGGTAGCATTACCCATACTACCCTCGTCAACCGCTTGCCATCCTTTTATATACATATGTATGTACAGTGGGCAAAATTTTTACGAATATTTTACATGAAATTTCATTTTTGCTAAACTTGTTTTGCACATTGTATGTATGTATACTTACAAAAAATAAGTCTATGTCTTTTTAATATTTAAGAAGTCTAACGTACGTTAGAAGTTTATAAGATCTGCTTAGAACAATGTATTTCAATATCGTTTTGCGCTCTCACTAAACGAAGCTAGTAATTAAACTCGATTGCTTTTGCAACCATTCCATTACATTTTATAACCATTTTTATTGTGTTCTTAAGTTGATTGGTTATGTTAATACAATGTCATTGGAAACGCTATAAAACATCCTGGATGCACAGTTAAATTATAGAATCATAAGTTATTTTATGTTCATTTGAAGGTAAACACCAATAGATAGGAATACATACATACATCAACTTTCAACTAATATTTTATCGCAATATATTCTGCAATATGGCTCAGAAAAAAATAAGTTATCACAGATTAACAATGAAAACAAAAGCACTCCCCGTAGGCAGGCATGGCATGCACGCTGAACAACTAAAAATTACGACCGAACAACACAAGAGCTTAAAGCTTAGGTTTTACTATATATACATATGTATAAACAAGTACGAGCACATACACATGCAAGGCTGTGGATGTTTTGGACTAAGTACATTTTGTAATACAATGCACAACGTAATAAACTAAAGATACAGCCGCATACAATTCTTTGCAACCTTTGCATGTATGTACATAATAACATACATACAATGTATGTCAAAGAACAAAAGCAATCATGGCAATCGATAGTTATACAAAAAACGGCATAGTGCATATATTTAACTGTGTGTAATGAGAACATACATTGTATCTACACCGACACAAAACCAATTTCACTGGCTAATATATTACCATTCTGCCCAATGAACTTATAGCCTATTCACATTGCAGTATTTTATAGTGGAACGATGGGAAGACGGCGAAAGAACCGTCCACAATCAATGGACGTGTTCAGCAAAACAACATGGTCACTGATGGATTTCTTAGTAGTTCTGGTGAATGCGTATGATCACTAATAAAGATGCAAAAATTATTCCATCATGATCAGCGAAATAGGAGCGAAAAAATAGTACGGTACCTTTTCTTGATACATGATAAATATCTGCTAGCCTACATATATCGATGGAGTAAATATCGACAAGAATAAACAGAAAAAGAACAGAGAATGTAAACAAAAAAAATCAAACAAAACAAGCTAAACAAACATTTCTTAAATAATGCGTAATGTATCATAAGCGCTTAGCAGAACAGACTTGATCACTGAATACATCAGTGATAATGTTGTTCTGCTAAATACGCACAAAGTCTTTTTTCTCAGAGTGCTTATAAACGCAGTGTAATTCAAACTAAATATTCACATATTTAAATAATTTTTTAGTAGGGGTTCTGTTAATTATAAATAAAATACATTTAATATTCTTATATCTTGTGTTTATTTCAATTAAGTAACCTCTTATACCAATCACATAAATCAACAATTTGAAAACAAAGTACCCTGCTCTATTGCCCGGAACATTTATTTTGAGAACTGTCTTGGAAATTATAGGAACAGCAGAGGATGACGGTGGAATATTGTGAGAAAATTCTGTGACGGTAAGTTCATATGCACTGTCATTGACGTAGACGGCGGCTTATGTGAATTGGCTATTACTCAACAAAAAGATTACCATAAAGGCTTATTTACACAGGCTTTAGTTGCTTCTGCAACAGTTACAATAATCCGCAACTGCGCTTCCTAATTACTTAAGGAGTACTTGTGCTGGAAAAAATTAAAATTTTACTATAACGAAATCTTGAAAGGTATTTGGAGCGTCCAGAATAAAAATAGACTTATTTACATTTGTTGCGAAAAGCAGATCGACCTAAAAAAATAGTCTTTCCAGATAGTTGGGAAAACTGATGTGGAGGTAGACAATTTAAATAGTTTAAGAATCGGTTTACAAATAGTTGAGGCACGAAACTTAAGTACGCCCGTCCGGCCCTAGAGAGTATGTTGGTGTTGTGGTCTCCAAATCATTTAGAAGAGAACTTTTTGTTATTACCGGGGAAAAAATACAATTTGACCTGTTGTAATTGTTAGGGTAAACTGAATTTAGACGATATTCGGCACTATAGGTAGTTTATAGTTAATTATAAACTTGCTTCTAATTATTTGAAAATTCGTTTTTACACCGGCTCAAATACATTGAATAGCATTGATTGTTAAGAACATTAAAATCCAACTGAAATACCACATATTTCGAAAAACCAGATATCTTGCCCGTCCCTTTGTACTTTTTGTAAGTGTTTGGTATTAGGTTTTTAAATCTTTGAAGCCCTTGTGTAAACAACCGATGTCTGTTATGTTTGGAGGAAGACTGTCAGGAACGCATTAAAAACGTGTTTAAAACGATATAAAATAAATCAGTGGCACTTTCCATATTTATGCAATTGTATAAGTTGGTTCAGTTGTATTCCTTTACGAATGCATTTCGTTTTAGTTTCTCAAACTAAACGGGATTAGCTAGCTCTGTAGGTAGAGCATAAGACTCTTAATCTCAAGGTCACCCACGTTAGGCGCCAGATGTAACGAACTGATTTTGTTAGCTACGAATATCGTCCCACCAAATTTATATAAACGTGACCGCCCAATTGACCAGTAAGAACGCACATAAAGTTCGGGTATACACAAATATCTTTATTCGCCGACTTGACCATCGGCCTGGGGCTGATAGTAACAAGTGGGTAACTCTATATCCTTCTTCGCCGGCCCCGTTTGAGCACTCTCCTTCCACGATGATGCTCCGGGTGGCTCCGGCGCTGATCAACACGTTTCGGGTTGATCCTGCTGCTTCGGGTTCCGCTCGGGGTGCTTGTGGTTGCATCTACTGCCGTTGGCACGGCGGTTATCAGAGCTTATTGATGCGTCACCGTTCCCAGACTAGGATGAACAGGCACTGTGCTCTCAAGGAGTACGCCTTGCTCTGTCCCGGCCTGACGTTTTAGGCGTAAGCCGGAAGCCGCCAACGTAGTCCCTAAGACAAACTCTAGGTTGCCTTTTTGGCGAGGACTTGTAGCTCTCGATGTCCTCGCTCTGCTCCCTGGTACGATGTCCTAGCTCTGCTCCTTGCTTTCTCCTGCAGGACCAGACGCAGCAGGGCTCTCGGGATTCGGTCAGCTGCCGTTCTGGGACTCTAGTGGTGAACAGCTGTGCTCTCAACGCATACGCCTTTCGAGACACCAGCCGATCTAATGCGCGTCCTTCCGGGATAGCCGGACCAGGACCTGTTCAACTCTCGCAAGACGATCAGGCGTACGCCAGACCTCGACTATACGATCCTTGTAGCAAGGCAGCTAGTTCTAGACAACTATACAACGACTGATCCAGCTTCCTGGGCTCGGCCTGCTTATATAGGCCTCTGTTAACCGATAGTTATCGCCGTCTTCTTGCTTCCTGATTTAAAGTCCACGGTTTTACCGTTCGACCTTTCGCCCTCTGCGCACGGCACCACAGCAGAGTCCGAGGTCCGGTCCTTTTGCACCCGTCAGTTCGAAGCTCTCTCTGCTGTGGCCGTCTCTCTCGGACATATTCTGTCCCTTTCTGTGCCCAGAAATTCCAACGGCAGATTGGAAAATACGAGCCAGAGTGTAGTTCTCAAAATAAGCAACCTTCTTTACCCCATGTACGGAAAAATGGCGTGGGGCATGGGTATAGTCTACTTGTGTCTCAAAAAGCGCCACTCCAGGAACCACGACAGGAGAGGTAGGAGAGGTGAAGAAGGACCTGGGCTTCGACAGTGTGATGGAGGACTTGAAGCTAGTGGTCTCGGACAAGGGGGAGGACTGTGACCTGAAAGTGTTAGTCAACCTGTCGTGTGGAGGTGAGCCAGGTACCCATGACGCGTCGCCGAAGCTCCTTATTGCCCTACATCAGGGATCCTTTGACATAGCTCCAGGAGCAATGGATTGCCTCAGGCAATTCCGTGGTCGGACAAAAGTCCTCAAATTACAACCCACTCTACTCACTATCGGTAAGCAGGAACATGACTACCATCCTAGTGAGGAAGGGTATCCACGCTAACCTTATGTCTCGTTACAGCTTTGATGACGTCACTGTCGAGATGCTAGAGACCGAGGAGAAGCACCTTCTGGTAGCTTCCTGCTATATGGAGCACGACAGACCAGCACCACCCGAGGAACTTAGAAGCGTGGTAGAAGCCCGATCAAAAGACCGCTAGTAGCTACAACAAAGAAAGCCCTAGAAGTGTTTGTAGACATATCAGGCGCATTACAGACGGGTACAATCAGAATGGGGCACCGTCTCCATGGTCATGGGGACACACAGAGGCACACCACAAGGAGGTGTCGTCTCATTCCTACTATGGAATATGGTGGTTGATGACCTAATCAAGAGATTCGAGAGGAGATCCCCGAAAATAACAGCCTATGCAGACGACATAGGCATAACTTTGACGGAGTTTGTCCAACGACCCTCAGCTCCGTAATGGAATCAACTCTCAGGGAGATATTTGAGTGGGCAGGAAAGGTAGGACTCAGTATCAACGCGGACAAGACGGACCTTATTATCTTCCCCAAGAGAAACAAGGTGCCGAAAAGGATACCCCATTGGATCAATGGATCCAGGCCAACCCCAAAAACACACGTCAAATACCTCGGCTTAGTAATAGACAGCAAGCTGACATGTACATGCACTGGTCAACCCCCACAAAAGCACTCGAAACTTAATTCGGAATTGACCACCTAGATATCCAACCAATACTGATAATACAACTGACTACGTGATCCCCCAAACTCCCCCAGAAGTTGGGACCTGAGGACTGGAAATCCAGGAACAGGACCGGGCTTATACTGCACTGACCCAGACATCAGGCTACTTGCAGTCGTCCATGATCTGTTCCAAAAATGTACTGGCGAGCAGGAAAGCACTAGATACCCTCAGCACTACTAAGATACTGAGTTCCCAGTTACGAAGGCATTGATGTCAACGAGGCCGCGGTTGCACTAGCAAAGGACGGCGTAACACCGCTTCTAATGGCCGTCCGGGGTAACCTAACATATTGTTACAATGGGAGCATTATGATATAGTTGTCATATTTTGATAAAAATTAAACCGTATTTATAAAATAATAAACCTTTACCAGTTCACATTCGACAGCCTTAGCAATCGGTCGTGTTCTTCAGCAAAACGTAACGTAGCCGCAGTACACAAACTCAAAACCAATACTCATCAAACGTTAGAGATCTCTTTTCTATTTTGGATCAGTCGACGGTAAAACCTTGCAGCTTAAACTGGCGTTGAATTAGACTGGCCTTATCAAAATAACATTTAAGTCCACATTTACTCCTGTCCATATCTTCATAGAATATGCAAGAGTCCAGGTAGGTTCCTACATCCCTGATGCGCTGCAACTCATGCTTGCGAATTGGCATACCTCAAAGTTTTGTAAAAACACATCCATTTGCGCAAACTGTGGTCTTACAACGCACGTAAACATCCAGAAAATAGAAAGATGTACAAACAAAGCATAATCATAAATAGTCATAGTCATGATTTGCGATTTAGAGGAGCTTAATCATGAAAAAAACTGACTTTATTCAAGATGATCCACGTCATGTGGATCGGAACTAAACTAACAACCATGACCATACTCAATGTCACGTGTATGACAACGAAGCTTTGTGAAGTCGTCACTTCATCTACCGCAACATCAAATGATCGGCGGATCCACAATTCAAGCAATGACTCTTTTTGTCGTGCTGCTTTTTCTGGTTTGGGGTCCTACTACTGTCGTTCGACGGGAACGGCTTATTTCCCTTTTCGGCTCCGCGCTCAAAAACATCATACTGCTCCTGCAGCTCTCTGAAAGATTTGCAACGATAAAGAGTGTATTTGAAGTCGCCCCTCAGAATTAGGCCGCCCACAATGTAGCGTATTTCCACATCTGCAAAAGATATTCGTGAAAAGATTCCTGCACACGTATTGACGACTAAAATCCGTCTCCAGCAAAATCCAAAAACACTTTTACTGTATTCGTCATCTCGCCACAAGCCTGTACTACTGACCTTGTGTAGTACGGCTGCCTTCCTTAACAACTAGTATCTTAGAAAGCTCCTGATTTTTTGCCCACTCATTCATCGGCGTTCTCGCGTGTTAATTTCATCTGAGACACCTCGGGACGGCGTAGTCACTTGCACTTTCCAGACTAGGACGAGCCCCCAAATGTGAGTTGAATGGTTAATCTCAACTTGGTTTTTATTATTATGTTTGTAGTTAATATAGAAAAGATAAAAATGTTCGGTTTTGTCGGTTTTTTTCCTGCGGCGTCACTTTTCCTCTGCTGCTTCTGCTGAATTCCGATTCTAAAACTTCCCATTCTTCCATCACCAATAACCCATAACGCTCTCTATACTTTTCTGCTGCTGCTTTACTGATCTACTGCTTTCTGCTGATGTACTGCTTGTCCAGCTGCTTCTCTGCTAATATTCCGCTTATGTTACTTCACAATCTTACATACATAACGAATACTCACTAACATACACCATAGACACAACTGAAAACCCGGTAAACTTTTTCAGGAATCAAATAATAATTGATGAAGGAAACAGTTCATCTGTAGACTCATTCATTTTGTTTAAAAGCAAGATGAGGCACATAACAAAAACTGCTGACCGAGAAAATCTGCTAAATACATTATAAAACGTAGTTAACACTGAGGTGGTATACGCAATACATTGCTCTCTACCAATCTTGGCATTTATTCAGCACCGACTAGTGGATTTCTTTTCGAACCCTTCCTTCAAGTATGTAGAACAATTTGTTCAAGACATCACAGATTAAACCGAAAAAAGAGAAATTGTTATAACAGAACACAGCAGGGCCATTCGAGCAGCTCAGAAAAACATAAAACAAATCCTGAGAGACTACTTTTTTCCCAAAATTCTTCAACAGACGTTACCTCGAATTGCAAAACCTGTTCTCTGGAAAAGTACAAGCGTGACCACATAAGCAAAGGTCTATAAGGTCTACTATAAGGTCTATTAATTTGGTGACAAAAATCAAATAAACGCCTAGGAAACAAGCTCTCAAAAATTTGAAACATATAAGGAGACACACCTTTTGGAAATTCTTTTAGCCAAAAAATAGAATTCTTATCACAGACCTAGAAAACATATCTATGGGCTTAACCCTGGCGAAATTAAATAAAGTCCTGCAATCATAGATAGTATCAACATTAGCAAATTTATGGACAAACAGCCTATTAACATTAGTTTAGTAGAAATATTAGAGGTGTGTTTTGCAAAATTCTGAAATCCCCCACTTTATTATTAATTTTCCTCATCCTAAACTCGTGTGTATGAAAATAGCGGTCTACCTGGTCCAACACCATAACAAGTTCCTGGAAATTGAAAACAGAAACAGCTGACCGGGGCTGGACCAGAACACCCGCGCAATGAGTGATCGCCGCCGGCCGGATATTGTGCTGACACAGCACCTTGGCGACTGCGCTGCGGCCAAACGAAAACTTCAAGCTGCACCCGGGCCAGACCAATAAGAAGGACTTTATTAGAACTTTACAACCTTAGCTGTGTAAATAAAACTTAGGTGAAATAAATAAACTATTAAATAACGCAGGTCTTTTTAATCGTTAATTTATATAAGTCGGAACGAGCTGGATCAAAACACTTTAACTAGTAGTTCCCGTTGAAACAATAGTAAAAAAAATGGATGAAAAAATATTAAAACTTCGCGGTTTTTCAGTATTTTTTTAATATTTAAAACACAAGGTTAAATATTTTGGATTAACGGTTAAATGTTTTGAGTAGATCCCATTGAATCATACAAAAAAACAAGAATCGGGGTTTGGGTGGCTCCATCTGAAACTCCAAGTTGGACAAGTGACCTTGTAGTCACATCAATCTTCTTGTATGGAAAGTTTTCAGACGAAAAAATTCCATAGCATTCAAATAAGTCGTGAGAAAGAAAAGTGTACCAAAATCTGTAAAAAAAAAAAAATAGTAAAGTTTAATAAAAATTAAAATAGTTGTTTCCAATTACACCTTTAGAAAAGAGTAAGCCATAATCAGTTGTAATAAAAGATAATCTAAATTTTGTGTTTTATATTTATTTTTGCCTGGCTAGCTTATTAAAGATAATTACATTCAAGAATACGCATACATGTTTCTTTGTCTATGTGTATAAATTAAAGGATAATTATAATTGTGAAATATTGTTGGTAAATGTTTGTCATTTCATTATTATAGGAATTTATTATTCCTTACAGATATAAAAATATATATACAGGTTATCTATAATAATAGTAATTCATTTATGGCTTCCTAAAATGTCAATCTGATTTGACGGTGCTGCATAGAAAAATTAAAACTATAACCTTATAAATTGTATTCTTAATGTAGAAGTATTTTACGAATACATTTAATTTTGATCATTTTAACAATAAATAATGCAAAATCCTTAACTAATCAGTACTATGTAATTAACGTTTATTTTTAACAGGCTGTTTTACTTATATTAAAAGCATTGTTGTGAGACTATTTCTAAGATTATATTACCTCTTTATGTAATTCAATAATTTTCCAAATTCACTTTTTCCAGGTTTATAAATGATTTTGTAAAAGTAACATAATTTGCAGTTATGTTTGTTGGCTCTTTTATAAAACTTTATATACGGTGTGGGGTGTTTGACTTTTAGTGTGTTTAGTGTTAACTCAAAATGATTTCCACATACGATTATTGCAAATATTAAAATAAATTTATAAATTATAATTTTAAATCATTTACCTTTAATTTATTTTAATTGTTTTTGTTTTAAACTATTCTTGATTGATAGAAATTTTGTTCAAAATTGCTAAAATTTTGTTCTAATTTAAAAGACATCAAAAATTTATTAACTGAAATGTATATATATTTAGTAAAATAATTTGATGTATAACACATTTTTATGATAAAAACTTCAAGTTTTGAGTTTTTAGAAAGTTACAAATGATAATCATTAGATTTAAAAATATGTTTTTTTTCGCGGGTGCTATGTCATGAAATCTTTAATCGGTGTTTGTAAGTATTTATATACATATTTACTAGGTAAATAATGGATTGGGTCGGACGAAATATACATTTATGAATGCTTTAATTGAGCTATGAGTTAGATAAGACATATGGATTTGTGAATAAAGATATATATTTGTGATGAAAAAGCATAAACTTCAAGGATTAAGATGTTGTTTTAGAAATTAAATATTAAATTACTTATTTATTATTAATGTGAGCGTAAGTTAATATTTACCGAATGATAAATTTGTATACTGAAAATTTGTATATTTCATTCTGTTTTTCGCTAGTTTTTGTTATATATATATATATGTATATCACAAGTTTGAAGATAGTAGAAAGAGGTGATTTAACTACTTTTATTGGCATAAATGGACAATCAAAACAGCGATTGATTGAGAGTAAATTACTGAAACAAGATAGTTATTGTTATGACATGCAAAGCTAAGTATCCGGGACTCTAGAAATTTTTTTTAGCAATCGATGCCGTTTACAGTCGCACTGCAACTTTTAAGCCGAAGGGAAGATACAACTGACCTTTCAGCATCTACATTAGATCCATTTTGTGAACTGTTTTGATCCTCAATGGACCGAAATCTTAAAAAGCCTTGGTCTGTCACTAGCATACTATCAGAAGCACTGGATGTTGTGCATGAGTTCGATGATGCAGATGCCACCGAAGCTGATGAAGCTGTGCACAACTCAGAACGAAGCTTTGCATTATTTTGAATATGCAGTTGTGTGTGTATATTTGAATGTAAGAGCGAATCATTCGACAAATTTTTAGCTGCTCCTGCTTCTACTAGTACTGACGACGATTTTCCATGAATGGAAAGAGAATTTGGAGAGCTGTCTTCAGCAATAATGACAGAACCATCATCGTTGTTGATCAAGTTTGTACACTCTACATTATTTCCTGATATTATGTCGTCTTCTTCATCTTCTTCTTCCTCGGAATTATGATTGTAAGGTAGCTGCTGTAGTTGATGCTGCCTTATGGGTACATTTTTAAACTTATCAGTCCCACCCTGCAATGATCTTACATTTGAAGCACGACCACTTGATCTCTGGTAATAGTGGGCTCTGTCTCTATCTGATATTCCTATTGTCTGCGCTCCGCTGGCGACTATTCGTTGAGTTCCAGCAGAAGCAATGGGTGCATCTAGAGTACAACCTGCAACAGCTCCTCCCAATGTTACACCACCACTGGCAATACTACTCAAAGTACCACTCTTGCGAACGCCGTTGAAAAATCCGCATTCATATGAGTTATAACTTCCATATCGGCCTCCACCACCATTTGAGGAAGAGCAGGAATTGGTTGAGTTTGAACTGCGTCGCTCGGGATTCTTATTTTCAAAAAAATTACGTTCAAGTGTACCATTACCATTAAACTTTTTTTCGCGCCCATTTGTCATCTTATGACGATCACGAAAACACTCACTTTTGGTCTGAGCATTATGAACAGCTTTATCCTTAAAAACAGGACGTTCAAAAATGTTAAATTCATACCGCTTGTTTTCCTGCTCAAGTGGTTCAGAATAACAACTGTCGTTTTGTAACAGTACTACTTGATGCTGAGAAGATCCAGAACCTGATGTAGAACCAACGCCATTTTTGTCATAAATTTCTTTTTGCATTTTTTCAGCTGTTGCACTGCTGTTGGTGCGCAAATTAAAATTTGGATTTTCGTAATGATCTGATGGAGTTTCTGTCATATAATCCGCGCTCATATAGGTGGGCTGCTCTTGAAAGCGCATTTGATGGGATTGATGGTGCTGCTTGTAGTTTTGTGTAGCCTGAGTTCCATAATCTGTCACGTTCTGACCATTGAGGGCACTTCCATCCGAACCCGTATCATATGGCCTCTGGTACATAGGTTCCTGCAGTTGATATTCACAGGGGCGACTATTTGAAGATGCAGACACTGTGGGACCTATAGAATTCAGGGCATAGCTGTCGTCGTAAATAAGTTTTCCAGTCCGCATAGTGTACGTGTGCAGATTTGTATTTGCGTTGCAAATAGCTGGGTAGTCGGTTTCGAACTGCTCTTGACTAGAGCTCGAAGTGCATGGCAGAAAGAAATTGGTTACATTTGAGTTGTGGCTGCTCGTGCCATTACTAACATGTTTCTCTCTCATGGCATTAATTGTTGAACCGCCGTCTTGGCCGTACGCACCCATAGCACCCACACCAGAGCCAACCATTCGAACGTCCCCATTAACAGCATTTAATGAATCGTGTCCGACACTGGTCTTAAGCCCAGTTACCCAGGATATTAAAGTTATTATGGCTATTTCTATGAGACGCAAAGAAAACTGGTATCCCCATTGTAGCCAGTCGACATCAACTATATTAGTTTGACGCGATGACGAAATACAAACGGCACCAAATATCTGGAGGGCAGCCAATAGTACAAACAGGAGAGCTGTGGCAATCGTAATGTGTATGGCGTAGGATAGGTTCTGATAGCCATGAATATAGTTTTGAGATTTGCTGCGAAGAATGCGCTTTAAAATGCGATACAAGTAGAGATAAAGAAGCCCCAAGCTGAGACATATAAATATATAAATTATCTGACAGATAAGATTCAAGACTCGCGGAGGCGGTGGCAAAATAGTTGATGGAGACATTGTCGCAGTAACATGACCTTGCTGGCTAAGAAGTTGCTGCCGACGAAAATACTGCTGCTGCTGCTGTTGTTGAAAATACAAATGATGGTTTTTTAATGTATACGATTCAACATAATGCAGTGTAATGCAAAGCACAACGTGAACTCCACAACCTACAACCACGGTCAGTGGTCTTATCAGAGCGGAGTATCGATTGTTCTTGTGGTTCAATGATTTAAGAAAAAGAAACAATATAAGTACAGAAAATGCCACTGTTAAGAATGTTGAGGGTAAATTCAGCAAAAGTTCTGAAGTGAATATATTAAAGGTGCCATGAACATTGTATGCATCGAAGCAAAGGAAAAATATTCTCATTATACAGATAACAATCAGTATAAGATGGATGCACACAAAGTACGACTGTGCAAACAAATGTGTAAGCTTGTTATAGGTAAGCAGTTTGTAAAGCGAATATACCGATAAAATAGTAAAGAGCACAACTGAAAGATATATGTGAATATTCCAGGCCCAGGTCCAAGTAGTGTTTGCCGATGCAGCTGCTGCTGAGGCAGCAATAGCATCCCGATCGCCTATGCTCGGACTCAACCCCTTAACAGTGTCAGTAGACTTTCCGATGTGACCCGGTTGACCCGCGTTTGTGGTGGCATGGGAAAATGATGTGGCCGAAACGTCGCCAATGGCAGCAGCTGCTGACGGCGTTGTTCCTGTAGTCTGATTAGCATTGTCATAATAGTCCAACAGACCTGGCAGGTATTTGCTCTGATTAATGTTAGGACTAGCCACAGAGGATCCTTCCACATCACTGCTCTCCTCGTTTGTTAAAGACTTTTCAATTAGTACAATTGGAGAAGAGGGCGGATGTCGCATGCTCATTATGGGTCGCTGAGTAACCTGCTTTAATAGCACAGCTGGTATGTCACCGTTCTTTCCATTTGATCCCAGAATTCGTCTTATATTAGGTAAAACTTCCTGTCTCTTAATGGGATCAGTGGCATCCTGGGGATGTGGCCCCTGTCCCTTTGCACTGGCTGTCTTTTCGCTTAAAAAGTCGTCACTGCTTGTACGTGCCGGTGTATTGAGAGCTTTTTTGCGATCCGTGACAGACACATCAGACACCGTTCCATGAGACACAGTTGAGTCAAGGGGGTGCTTTGCATCTAAACCAGTATTAGCGTAACTTAAGTCCGCTAACGGATTTACAATGGCATCGTTACTATTGCCTCCCAGATCTGGTGGTCGAATGGGGATCCGGTCCTGACTTGGCATTAAACTTGGCGGTGGTATAGGACGCCTACTAATGCCAACTAGACCCTCATTATTGGTACCACGCAATGTGGGCTTGTCCGCAAATGAATTGTGATACTCCGGCGGGAGTGGCGGTGTGAAGAAGGCTCTCGACGGTGGTGAATACGATGGAATATCGCCGGGATACATTGGTATTGTTGGTGATTGCCCTCCGTTCGATTTTTTTAAAAGGTTGGGAACTGCGAATATGCGATATTTTAAAGAAACAAATTATGCAAAACATCTCCTATGTATACTTACTTGATGGTATCGGAGTGGAATTGTACTGAACGGTGTTCCTGTGACGATCCCTTTCATGTGAATGGTGCCGATTTGGATTTGGGTAGGTCGGATTGTTATTACTCTTTAGAATGTCAGCGTTGGGCGCCGAAGTTGGCAAGGCATGGTCTCTCTCTAAGTCAAGTTCATAATTTTTCTGGCGACCATTGACACCATGTTGTTGATGTACTGAGACATACCTGAGAAAAAAAAGCAGTCATATATAGTCGTACAACTAATTCAATCTAAGAAAATTACATTTTAAGTAAATAATAATATAATAAAAGTAATTCTGAATTAATAGATAGCGAGGTTATATATTTATTTATATTTTTTTGTTGACTGTTTGATTTTAATGAAAATAAACCCTTATCTCACGGAATATAAAACAAAAATTTTAAAAAGAGAAGTTAATTTTTTTTTTTTTTTAATTTTTGCACAATGAGCACAATTTTTTATCTTGCTGGGCACAGTTTGCCATACACTAACAATATTTCTTTACTGATAAGAACGAAGCAAGGCAACAACAATTTAATTAGGTTTTTTTTTGGATTGCCAATTTGTTTTTGTTTTTCCCTCGACTCTCCTAATTGTGTTGGTAAATGCACTCTCATAAGGGAGTTTTGAGCACCTCTGAACTTTATACTTCACTGCGTTGCAAACATTTGACTGAAATTATAAAAGCACCTAGTTTCATTTTTAATTGCAAGGACAATCTCAACAGCGATGATGTCGGTGGTGTGATAAATCGAAAAAATTCCGCTGGGGATGCCACGGACCATAAGATTACTTGAAGGGCGGCTTCTAACCAATAATTTAAAGCCCATTAAAAAAATACTTAGAACTGATTTCCGTGAAAATCTGAGTGAAAATTACAAAAAATATGAGTTTTCAAATTATTTTTTTTTGTTTTTAAACATAGAACATACTCGGTTAATACGCAATGTTTTTGGAATTGTGTTTTATGGAAATGATTTATGTAATATAATTTAAAATAAATAATATGTAAAATATATATATTTAAATTCAAATAGGTTCCTAAAGCTTGGAAAAAAAGAAACTATAGGATATAATAAAATCTTAGTGTCAAAAAAACACTTAAAAAAGAAAAAACCATAGAATTCTTTTGGGGAATTAATAAATATCTAAATTTGTTGAGACCGGCATTTTTGTCAAATAAATATCATATAAACAAAAAGAGTATATTTGTATATTTTTTACGTAATATTTACTTACCTCTGCGTTGTCAGGAATGGTGTGGCAACAGTAGTTAGACCTAAGGAATAACTAGTATCTGGTATGCTTCGCTTGGTTGTAGAGGTTGTGCCATATGCTACTTTTATTAAAACAGCTGCGACACTACGTTCAAAGTTGTTTAACTTTTCCAAATAATCCTTTTGCACTATAGGGGAAGTACCAGAAATCATGTTACTTCCAGTGCTGTTGCTGAAGCTACCATTTCCACTTGACTTTTCCTGCGAAATGGTTCTGTTGTTCCTTAAACTTAATTCCTCTAATAATATTGACTGCGACAAACAAATTTGGTGCACAGCAATCAAATGCAGACATAAAAAAAAGGTATGATTTCGTCGAGGAAAAAGCATTTTTCGAAGCAAGATAGAGTTAGGGGTCCGACCAAAAAATTTAGGCTTTAACCGTCTGGCGTCGGATTTAGATTCAACACCACCAGTGAAAGCTTTATAAGCACTTATCCGTAAAGCAACTGGTGCGATTAAATCGTGTTTTAATACTGATGAAGCGTGTGTTGTTTTGGTTGTAGGTTGGGTCGGAACCCTTCTTACTTTTTTTTCAATTTTATTTGTATGTTCATGTTGGTTTCCTAAAATAAAAAAATTCAAAATCTTTTAAAAGTCAAAAATAATTGTTAAAACTTACCTATTTCCAAAGAATCACGCTTTTTAACCTTAGTTCGAACGTTATGATTCGGCTTAGGCATGATAATTTGACTCCGACCATATATTAGTGTTTATTTACCTTATATTTTCATAATAACGGATGGTTGATGTTACATGCAATGAAATCATTTTCCCTTGTAAGAACCTAAGCAAAGAAACAAAAATATTAAAAAAAACAGTTTTTACACCTATTTTTAGTTTAGTAAAATGGTGATAAAGAATATAACTAGCGTTTCCAACATATAAAATATCAAGCCAAAATACATATAAATAAAAATTATCGTAATTTGTTTACATGTGTATGTACAAAATTTTGAGGAAAACGATTTAAAGCATTCCAAACTGTAAACAAATAATATCGGTTTCTTTTGAGTTTGAAGAACAGTTTTGTCAGTCGTTAATGGTTATCTTGTAATCAAATTTGTAAGCTGTTTTGTGTGATTTGCTTATGGGCAAAAGCCCACACTGCACTGTTGACCTCATTCATTGCTTATTTAGTTTTAACTATATGATTTTACGTAAGTGCGAGCGAGACAAACGTACGACGATTCCAATGAGCAATGAATGAAGAAAATTGACAGAACATGATACCCGATAGTAAAATACTTGACAGAATTGGGTACAAAAAAATAACATTCGATAAAATACCACCAGGGCCGATACATCAATGAGCAAAATTGTATTTAACAAGAAAGGAAACAAACTTCGGAAAACCGAAGTTCATATACCCTTGCAGCTATTTCAAAAACTCTTGAAAACGTTAAAATTATGATTTACTTGCTTGTATGTTTAAAAACTTTGAAGCTATGAAGATTTGCAGCTCAATTAATCGATAGTTCCCATGGCAGCTATACAATTGTTCCTATGGGAGCTATATGCTATAGTCGTCTGATTTTGATAAAATGTAAACCGTAATTCTGAAATAATTAACCATTACTATATGTCGAAGAACTAAAAAAAAACAAGAAAGAAAGCAAACTTCGGCAAGCCGAAGTTCATATACCCTTGCAGCTATCGCAAGAATTAAATATTTTTGAAAACATTAAAATTATGATTTACTTGCGAATATGTTTAAAAACATTGAAGCTATGACGATTTGCAGCTTAATTATTTGATTGTTCTTTTATATATTTTTATTATTTGTATGGGAGCTATATGATATAGTCGTCCGATTTTGATGAAATTTAAACCATAATTCTGAAATATTTAACCATTGCTGTATGTCGAAGAACTAAAAAAAAATTAAAAAACAGTAAAGTTATAATTTTTTTTCAATTATTTTTCCGATTGTTAATATGGGAGCTATATGCTACAGTCGTCCGATTTTGATGAAATTTTAACCATAATTCTGAAATATTTAACCATTACAGTATGTCGAAGAACTAAACAAAAAATTAAAAAACAGCAAAGTTACAATTTTTTTTCAATTATTTTTCCGATTGTTCCTATGGGAGCTATATGCTATAGTCGTCCGATTTTGATGAAATTTTAACCATAATTCTGAAATATTTAACCATTACAGTATGTCGAAGAACTAAACAAAAAATTAAAAAACAGCAAAGTTATAATATTTTTTCAATTATTTTTCCGATTGTTCCTATGGGAACTATATGCTATAGTCGTCCGATCCGGCTCGTTCCGACTTATATACTACCTGCAATAGAAAGACAACTTTTGGGAAAGTTTCATGCAGATAGCTTTAAAACTGAGAGACTAGTTTGCATATAAACGGACGGACAGACGGACAGACTGACAGACGGACAGACGGACGGACAGACGGACATGGCTAGATCGACTCTACTAGTGATGCTGATCAAGAATATATATACTTTATAGGGTCGGAAACGTCTCCTTCACTGCGTTGCAAACTTCTGACTGAAATTATAATACCCTCTGCAAGGGTATAAAAATGAAAAACAGCAAAGTTATATTTTTTTTTCCGATTGTTCCTATGGGAGCTATATGCTATAGTCGTCGATCCGGCTCGTTCCGACTTACTACCTGCAATAGAAAGACAATTTTTTGGGAAAGTTTCATGCAGATAGCTTTAAAACTGAGAGACGGACAGACGGACGGACAGACGGACATGGCTAGATCGACTCTCCTAGTGATGCTGATCAAGAATATATATACTTTATAGGGTCGGAGTTGTGTCCTTCACTGCGTTGCAAACTTCTGACTGAAATTATAATACCCTCTGCAAGGGTATAAAAAGTAAAACTTTGAACATTTATTGGAGGTGACGACAAATCGAAATAAAAATGCGAAGCTTAAATGTATCCTAAATATTTTTTACCATTTAGAACCTTTCAAAGTTAAAATTACCAAAAAATTCTTAAGCAGTATCAATATAGTTGTCTCTGTCTCTGAGCTACAATGAATCCGTCAATGAACGAGGGGAACATTGTAATGTCATACCCGTATTAATAAATGAATTCAAACAGAATATCCTTATTATTTAAGTTGGAACGCCACACCCAGATCCGAAAGTTTCTGTTAAATTTTGTTTTGTACTGAATACACAGCATCAACACCGCGGAATAAGATTAAATAAGCAAATGAACGTCCAAAAAAGCATTAAATTAGCAATACAAAAAAAAACTTTAAAGTAGGGGAAATTTCGAAAGTTTAATAGAATTCTTTTTTATAAATTTTTTTTTGGTAATTAATTTCATTATTACATATAAGTTCCCTTAACATTTAAAGAAATCGTGATTTATTAATTCCTAATCTTTGATTCAAAATTAGGTATTAAATCTTCAGAAAGCTTTCAAGAATTTGACCAAGGATATGAAAACGCGCCTTCTTTAGATCTATTATTAAAAAAAGCTCTGCTTCTTAAATGTCTTTTAGACATGCAATAGAATACGTAGGCTTTTTAAAAATCAATGGTAATTACAAATTTGAAATAACTAAATTTATTTTTATTATTAGCATTTTTATACCCTTGCAGAGGGTATTATAATTTCAGTCAGAAGTTTGCAACGCAGTGAAGGAGACATCTCCGACCCTATAAAGTATATATATTCTTGATCAGCATCACTAGGGGAGTCGATCTAGCCATGTCCGTCTGTCCGTCCGTCTGTCCGTCCGTTTATATGCAAACTAGTCTCTCAGTTTTAAAGCTATCTGCATGAAACTTTCCCAAAAGTTGTCTTTCTATTGCAGGTAGTATATAAGTCGGAACGAGCCGGATCGGACGACTATAGCATATAGCTCCCATAGGAACAATCGGAAAAATAAATTTAAAAAAATTATAACTTTGGTGTTTTTTAATTTTTTTGTTAGTTCCTCGAGATATAGTAATTGTTAAATATTTCAGAATTACGGTTTAAATTTCGTCAAAACCGGACGACTATAGCATATAGCTCCCATAGGAACAATTATAAAATTAAATAACAAAAAATTATAACTTTGGTGTTTTTAAATTTTTTTTCTAGTTCTTTGAGATATAGTAAGGTTTAGATATTTCAGAATTACGGTTTAAATTTCATCAAAATCGGACGACTATAGCATATAGCTCCAATAGGAACAATCGTATAACCGCCATAGGAACTATTAAGAATAATTAAGCTGCAAATCATTATAGCTTCAATGTTTTTAAACATACAGGCAAGTAAATCATAATTTTAACGTTTTCAAGAGTATTTAGTTTTTTAAATAGCTGCAAGGGTATATGAACTTCGGCTTGCCGAAGTTTGCTTGCTTTCTTGTTTTGCATTACTTTCGAAAAATCTAATGAAATTTTTTTTCAGTAGCATTACATTATAATAAATTACTTTTGGAAGCAATAGTTTCTTGACATCTGATGTAAAGTTTTTTGTTATAAGCATTATTTGTTAAACCTGTTACACGTTGAATAAAAGAGTATATTTCATCGTTGATAAATGAATAACAGGTAGAAGGAAGCGTTTCCGATCCAAAAAATATATATATATTCTTATCCAGGATCAATAGCCGAGTCGATCTAGCCATGTTCTCCTGTCTGTCCCTATAAACGTCGAAGTCTGTGAAACTACAAAAGCTGGGCTTTGAAATGCAGATCCTGGTAATTCTTATGCAGCGCAAGCTTATTTCTAAACGGGCCATGTCCACTCTAATGGTCACTACCCGCAAAAGTCTGTCACGTCCGTCTGGGTCATACAACAACTAAGATATTGAACTTGGGGTATGTGCTTCGGTCATATCTATCAATGGACACAAACATTTTTAAAATCTAGATATTTTTTAAAATATTGCGTTAATAAGTAATCTGTCAACGATTTGCCGCTGCTCTGCCGGCAAAGCAGTATCCTCTGCTCATTACAAAGGGACACGGTGATCGCTGATGTCGAGACAGAAGAAAAGAACTGATAGCTGGGGGTGGTGTGCTGCATGCTCTGAGCTTCTAGTGTTGGCTATGCAGTTCGATAGATGACGCCACCTAAACTCCGATTGTTTTGTTAGGGAAAACTTAGTTTGAAATTTGTTAGCTGAGTAACGGGTATGTAATAGTCGGGAAACTTATGAAATATTTTTTCTTAAGCATTACTTTGGAGAAATCTTGTTAAATATTTTTGCACTAGCTTTATTTTTGAGAAATCTTGTTAAATATTTTTTCACAAGCATTATTTTTGGCCAATATTTATACCCTTGCAGAGGTTATTATAATTTCAGTCAGAAGTTTGCAACGCAGTGAAGGAGACATTTCCGACCCTATAAAGTATATATATTCTTGATCAGCATCAATAGCAGAGTTGATCTAGCCATGACCGTCTGTTCGTCCGTCTGTCCGTCCGTTTCTTCGCAAACCAGTCTCTCAGTTTTAAAGATATCTGCATGAAACTTTTCCAAAAGTTGTCTTTCTATTGCAGGTAGTATATAAGTCGGAACGAGCCGGATCGGACGACTATAGCATATAGCTCCCATAGGAACAATCGGAAAAATAAATTTAAAAAAATTATAACTTTGGTGTTTTTCATTTCTTTTTTTTATTTCTTATATATATAAGTATATACATATAGTAATCGTTAATTATTTCAGAATTGCGGTTTAAATTTTATCAAAATCGGACGTCTATATCACATAGCTCCCATAGAAATAATACAAATATATAAAATAACTATCTAATAATTGAGCTGCAAATCACATAGCTTCAATGTCTTTCAACATATACGCAAGTAAATCATAATTTTAATGTTTTCAAAAGAATTTAATTCTTGCAACAGCTGCAAGGGTATATGAACTTCGGCTTGCCGAAGTTTGCTTTCTTTCTTGTTTTATTTGCTTTACTTTTTTCAATACTAATGAAATTTGTTTCTAAAGAAACTCACAACTCTGCCAAAAATAACAAAATATCATTATTATTATATTAAACAAGACTGAACGCTACACGGTAATCTATTCAGTTAATAAACTTCAAATACCCCGGAAAACACTTGGCTTTTAGGTGGTCCCCTATGCGTAACTGTAACATTAGCAAATGCTAATAATTTCTAAAAATAAGTCTTTTTGTTTGCCTTATTTTAAGAACAGTCAATTAGGTAACCTCGACCATGGCTCACAGTGGCATGGCAGATTTTCTCGATTTGAGGGCTTTAGAGTGGGCGTGGCCAGTCTGGCTGAGGGCCCGGGTTAAAAACAAGCTTATTCTCTAACGGTGGTCTCAGAGAGATGGCGACCCCCATCCGGGGACCCAGGCATTGCGGATCTCTGCTTGGGTGGACCTTTCCCCTACTCCGCAACACGTGGGACCTATTATTGAATCATCAAAATAATTTGGAGTCGGGTACGCCCAAAAAACCCGACACGACGACAAGGAATTTTGGGCCTCATCCCAAACTAGGGATGACAGGGGGTAAAAAGTCGGATGCCAGTACCTCCGCAAAGTGCGCGTGAGCGCCAGCCCCAACCTTCCGAGCAAGCTAAGCGGAGTAGCGGGCTGCCGCGCAGACACCTACCGAATGGCAAAAGAAGGTAGAATGGGCAAAGACGGTACTCCGAAACTATGGCCAAAAAAGGTACAGAAAGCACAGCCAAAGAAGCAGCGAGCTCTAGAATTGCCTTGAACTGCCTCAAAAAGATCGAAAGTTCAACCAGCCCTGTCATTTGCGGACCTTACGCGGGACAGCATCCTGATTGGACTTGTGGACCAGGGAAGTCCCGGAGGCCGGATCCCTAGGAACAAATGGAAGGAAGTGAAGGGGCCTCCAAAAAAATCCCAGAGGACACCCTCTTCATGTTGCAGAGATTCAACCCCCACCTTCCCACGCAAGACTGAAAGGTCGTGAAGGTGGAGCCGCATGAGGGGCCAGTCAGGCAGGACACAGCCGTGCTGAACGAGGAATCAGTTTCCCTAATAGAGGCTGCTCACGGGGAACTGCATTTTGGATTCAGTTCAATACGCAAAAAAATCGAGCTCGAAAGGTAACCGGTCGGCAATCGACTAAAAATAATAAGTACTATTATTATTATTATTACTATTATTAATAATTCGGAATTACGTTTTTAATTTTATTAATGATGGAAAACGATATCATATAGCTGTCATGGGAATAATTTAGCTAAATATATTTATTGATTCAATATTTTTAAAAATGTAGGCATATAAATCAAAATGTAAATGTTTTTAAGAATTTTTTTCATTTTTGCATTACGGTATACAAACTTGAATTTTCCGAAGTTTGCTTCTTTCTTGTTGTAACTTGTTCTTCTATTACTGCTGGATCCGATATAAATAAATCTAAATCTGTTTTATCTATTCTTCTGACGGATCATTTAATTGTTTTCGACAATTTCGATCTTAGCCCTCTCCTACTGACTTCCTTTTTTGCACACCTTTATCTGATAATGACTTCCTTGATTTAGATATATCATTACAAAATTGAAAGTTTCCAGGCCCTGCCAAGATACTTTTTCTCTTTTACTTTCCCCAACTTAGACGAAAAGTTACTCTATTTCCGAAAATAACTGGTCAACTAATTTGAATGGAAGAACTCAGAGGGTTGTTTTTAAAAATCTTTATTTCCAACAGTACATGTAGTGATAGCCGCAGAACTAAAAAACTGCTGTGATGGTCCGATCGTGACGAGTAAACCAATGGCTTCGCTAAATGAATAAAAATTGCATACCAAGACTTTGGAAAACTTTATTGGTTGAGGAGAAAAAGCGGTAAAAGAATTTTTCCAGAAGTTCCTGAGCTTTGTAAAATATTAAATTTTTTAACACAGTTTAAATTTTATTAAATATACGCGTCAAATGACACCAAATTTGCTTGGATCCGATGTTCTGTTCAAAAGTTATTCAAAAAATATTTTTTTTGATGTATTAAAAAAAATACAAAAGTTTTTCTACATTGTTTCTCAATTTCCACAAATTTTTAGGACTTGTTTTAGAATTCTGGAATAATTTTTTTTGTCATGGGCAGGTCGTTACAAAAAAAGTTTGAAAAACTAGCTTATTTATCAGGAAATCGTTAAAAACAGCTAAAATTTGCTATAACTATTTGCTATAATAGCTACAGAGCTGTATGACATTAAAAAGGTATTGTCAAATGCTAGTCACGCTGCCTTAACATAATTGCTCTGAATCAAGTCGATTTTTGTTTATTTTTTTACGTTTCTAGCACTGAGATTCCTCAACTTTTGGTATATAACAAATTATTCTGAATGAATAAATTAATGAGTGAATGGTTTTGAAAGTTATTAAGCAACAAAAACGTTTCTTAGTTTGGAGAAGATAACGCTGCTAAGGCAAGAATTTCCTCCTAAAAGTGTCCACCACCAGTTCCGTGAGGAAAATGCAATAAAAAATGGTTTCAGGTTCGAGGAAGAATCATTTTCATTAAATTGTAAAATATAAATTATTGTTTAATATTTAAGTTCAAAACTAATCTTAATTAAAGCAAACTTATTTGACATCAGATACTGGCCAAAAAAAATGAGCAAGATGTAAGCAAATATCTTAAAAGCAACGAAGTTATTCCAATGTTTGTTCTGTAGGGCCAGATAACTTTCTCGTTAATTTTTATAGTATTATTAGAAGAGTCGATCTAGCCATGTCCGATTGTCCACTCGTTTATACGCAAACTAGCCCATCAGTTTTAAAACTATGAGTAGAAGTTGAAATGAGCCGGATCGGAGGACTATATATTACAGCTCCCATTTGAACAATCGGGAAAAATTATAATTTGACTGTTTTTCAATTGACTTGAATATACTTCGATACAAACAAATGGTTTATTGTTTCAGAATTACGGTTCTAATTTCATTTAAATCAGACCTCGATATCAAATAGCTAAAATAGCATAAAAATCAAAATATTGTTGTTATAAAAAATTTTAATTTTTGGAACAGTTGTAAGGGTATATAAGCTTGGACTTGCTGAAGTTTGAATCCTTTCTTAGTCAAGCTTTAAAGTCTCGTTAAAACAAAATTTGTACTGAAGTATAGGTTAAAGTTTCTTTTTTGAAAACCATGTTCACAATGTTGGGGTACTTTGACCATATTTCGAACAAGAACTTCTGATATCAAACAAAAACACCTGTTTTCGAGGTAAAAAAGTCGTGATGATCGCACCTTCAACATAAAAAATATATGATATCAAATTTTGTGAAGAAAAATGAATAAGCATTCGACTAAATACACTTTTTCCCATTCGTCACGCTGAAATAAATATGCCTGTGTAGGCAAAATACCTGTATGAAGCGGTCCGAATGGAAACATTTTAAAAGTGCACTAAAAATTGAGAAAAATAATGATTAGCCCTAAAATCAGACTTCTCGATTCTAAAAGCAATGTGGATAAAGCACATCTAAGTCAAAAGACAAGTTGTTAATTGTTTACATGGAATTAATCCACATTTGGTTTAAGCAAATATTGTGGATTATATTCCAATTTCAAGTTTTTTTTTAAGATTTCAAAACGCATACTAACAAAATAAAATACATATGTTTACAAAAAGAAATTGTAAACATTTTCTAATTTAATGCACATCGTTTATTTTCGTATAAAACTATATTAAATGAATACATGGTGTAATAGAAAAGAAATTACCGATTTTCTCCATGCCTTCTTTTAAAACTATCGATTTTTAAGATGTTTTAGATATATCCATTATGCACAAAATAATGTGCATGCACACATGCACAAAACTAGTTATTGGCTTTTTCACTTCAGATTGTATAGAATACTTATATATGTACATATATGCATTCAGATGTGTACACATAAGCAACAAAGTTATGTATACCTGGGGTACACTATTGATATCAATAGCAGTTTGTTTGAACTAACGAATATTATAATCTCTCATAGTATTCCATTTTCACTTTCAACACACAATTTTATTGTCAATTACTAATACAATTTGTTTTATTATGACGTCTCGACTTTTCACTATATGCAACACATCTACAAAATGGTGGATATAACATCGATTAATTATCGGTGACACCGATATATACATTTCTATTATGCGCAAAACATATACTTAAAGGCGTATACCCACAGAGCAACATCCATTGCTGACTCGCCTGTAATACCGTCTGCACACATCCGATAAAACGACAAGCCGCGACAAAGTTTTAGAGACCCATTTACACAGGCACCAACCGTTGCAAAAGCAGCTTATCTGCCTACAAAAAGTAAAAAACCTAAAGAATATAAGAAAATAACCGAATCCGCATTTTCCCTCAAAACGTAGTACAATTTTGACATTAGTATGTGGTAAGAATATTTTTCAACAAATGATTTATCCACTGCTGTTGACCTAATGGCCTAGTCCCACAAAGAACCATCCCCCATTTCTTTTAAGGACGGTCCGTAATGGCCTAGTCCCACAGAGTCCCATCCACCATCTCTTTCAAAGATGGTCCGTGTCCAAGGTTGTTCCTTGACGGTGGATTTTCCGATTCTAACGCACGTTTTTAGCCGATATTTAGCCGGTGTTTTTTCGCTGCAACTCTAAAGCCATCTTTCTTTGTGTGAACCAGAGGCGTAGTCGAAAGAAAAGGGGGACTTGGGAGGTTTTCGAGTGAGCGAAAACAGAGTAGTTATAAGCCATTATTTAAAAGTTTAGATAACCATTTATCAACTTATACATAGCATTTATATAAAATAAGAGCCGGAAAAAGTAATTTTAAACGAGTTTGTTCGAGTATAAGGCCCTTCAAAAAATTCTGCATACGCCACTGTGATTGTTAATAGTCGGTGGTTGATGGAACGTGGATGGTGGCTCCGTGCGAACACCAGTCCACCATCGGTTAAAAATTCCAACCGTTTTGCTTGTATGGGCTCTGTGGGACTGAGCTATTAGCCGATGTTTATTGGTGCAACCTCTTTCCACGCAGTGCATCCCTGAAAAACCGTTGGAACGTTTGAAAAGTGTGAAACTCCGATTTCAACAGAACACATCTACATTCCTTCCGATAACAGTTCAACAGGTCAACCATTTATGGTTATGTTTTGATGAGCCACAGCTGTTCAGATTAGCTGGGCTTTAACATATGTCGTTTCCGACAGGTGGAATTCCGAGTTAGCTTAGTGTAAGGCGGAGGCGTTAATACGGGTATGACAATACATTGTTCGCCACATTTATTGTCGGTTTCATTGAAGCTCAGAGACAGAGACAACTATATGGATACTGCCTGAGATTTTTTTTGGTAATCAGTTCGTGACCGTGAACTGATTTTACTGCCTTTTTAACGTTAAATTCAAACGTTATGGTTTTGTTTATTATATTGTGTTTATCCCGCTAATTTTAACGATTAAAGGGTTTCAGTTGTTACCTTTAAGTGGATAAAATTATTTCGTATACATTTAAGCCTCGCTTTTGTCGTCAACTCCAATCAATGATCAAAATTGTACATTTTAGATACAATTTAGCTCATTGGTGTTTCGGCTCGGGTGGTATTTTATCGAATGGTATTTTTTACTATCGGGTACCGGTTCTGGCTATAGGTCTTGGTCACACTTACGTAAAATCTTATGGTTAAAATAAAAAACGAGCAATGAATGAGGCCAACAATGTAGTGTCAAATAAGTTTTAAAAAAGTTCGATAGATTTTAAAGACTTACTTCAAAAAATTCTGGGTACGCTCTGACTGGGTATAGGGTATTTCCACAGAGTTCCGTTGAAGAGTTTTGCCGTTCCAAAAATATCCCAGTTAGTCCGCCGTTAAAATTTGACGGACTTTGACGGACTAATTTATGCAAAAGTTAGCCGATGTTTCTGCCGTGCAACCCTTTTTCCACGCAGTACTTCCCTGAAAAACCGTTGGGATTTTTGAAAAAAGTGAAACTTTGGGTTCCACAGATCACATCCACCTCCCACTATCCGATTCTAGCAGATCTTAACAGCTGTAGCTCATCAAAACATAAACAAAGATGGCTGACCTGTTGACTTTGTTTACGTTTTGACTAGCCACATCTGATCAGCTCAGCTGAAATCGGAAGGGTGAAGGTGGATGTGCCCTGTGCAAATCGGAGTTTCAGATTTGTTTAAAATTCTATCCGTTTCCAACGGATGGACTGTGAAGAAAGAGGGCATAACTGGGAAGTTTTTGAAACGGCAAAACCTTATCGACCTTCCCTTCAACAGATGATGGAAGGTGGATGGATCTCTGTGGAAATACGCTATCATTCAAAAATTTACCAAGTAGGGTCATCATCCCAGAAATGCATTTATCAGGGTAAAAAACGGGTAAAAACCATACTCTTGTGGTTCAGCGCACACGAAAACCTACTATATTCTTAAAAAATAAATGTCCATGTGCATATAGAGTATAACGGTCAAGAATGGATACATCGTAAATTATTTGACGTTTTTGACACCTCTAGTAGAGCAGAGCGTAGATACACATATATAAATCAAACATTTAAACACTTTAAATGCAAAATATTTTGTAATGCCTTTTTTAAAAAAAAATATTGGACTATGCACTTAATAAAGTGTTCTGAAATATAATCGTCTTTATGCGGCATTTGAAATTGTATTATTCATGTTGTAAAACTGAGCCAAATTTAACACAGAAATGGATACATTTGATGTGTCGGATAGGAACAGGTAACATATTTGTTGTATATTTTATACGCATTGTTTCCGAAATAATTACAATCGTGTGTATTTTTTTTGTAGCTGGTACTTTGGTCCCATGTCTCGACAAGATGCTACCGAGGTGTTAATGAACGAGCGTGAAAGAGGAGTATTTTTAGTCCGTGACAGTAACTCGATTGCAGGGGATTATGTACTTTGTGTAAGGTAAATGAACGAACTTACTATGTAGGTTTAATAGGATAGTCTAAACAAAAACCAGCAAACTTACCCACATCGTTGTTGCATTTGGGTTTAAGCTAACTTCATCGAAAACAAAAAACATTGGAATTAAGACCGTTTCGCAATGGTTTACTTATACAATACATTTGCCAGTTAGACTTTTGTACAAAAAGTATTTCTCCCAATTTTATTTATATATTTTTATTTTATATTTTTGATCTCGTTTAAATTTAAGCTGCGGCAAAATATGGAGAAGAAATCCATTTTTGATTTAAAATATTTATTATAATTATTTAATAAGAGGCAGTCGAAAGTATAAGAGATAAACTTTTTTTTCAATCGGATTTTTTTTAGTATGGTTAGTTGCTTAAGCAGGGTGAGAGTAGGACCTTTAAACGTCTTTGAAAGCTCAAAAACTTAGACTTTATCGGTAAATAATTACGCTAACATTTATATCATAAGTATTTATCCTTTTATTTATATTTTGTTACAGCCAGAAACCTTTAATGTTAATCTTCTCTATTCTTGATAATTATTTATTTTGTTTTATTTCTTTTTGTTGTTTGCCAAACCATTTAAATATTCTGAAAACTGTTCAAATTTGTTCAGAAAGCATTCTATGGATTGATATATTATTGCGGCTAAAGCCAATCGCAAGCTATTAGCTATAACTTATGGCGTCCTACGCCAGCTCCTCATGTCCATAGTACGTCTACATAAAAAATTCCTGAACTTACCCTTATATCCCTTAACTTCGCTCACTCACTGCCATCATACTCAAATAGATGTCGTTTAGATGGTTTACTTAACAAGCCTTGAGGACCGAAGAAAAATACATCACTTCTAGTTCGATTATGTTCGTCTATCCGTTTCTACGCAAACTAGTCTCTCAGTTTTAAAGCTATCTGCATGAAACTTTCCCAAAAGTTGTTTTTCTATTGCAGGAAGTATATAAGTCGGAACGAGCCGGATCGAACGACAATAGCATATAGCTCCCATAGAAACAATCGGAAAAATAAATGAAGAAAAATTATAACTTTTCTGTTTTTTAATTTTTTTTTAGTTCTTCGAGATATATTAATGGTTAAATATTTCAAAATTACGGTTTAAATTTTATCAAAATCGGACGACTAAAGCATATAGCTCTCAAAGGAACAATCATAAATAAAAATTAAAAATAATTATAACTTTGGTGTTTTTATACCCTTGCAGAGGGTATTATAATTTCAGTCAGAAGTTTGCAACGCAGTGAAGGAGACGTTTCCGACCCTATAAAGTATATATATTCTTGATCAGCATCACTAGTAGAGTTGATCTAGCCATGTCCGTCTGTCCGTCTGTCCGTCCGTCTGTCCGTCCGTTTATATGCAAACTAGTCTCTCAGTTTTAAAGCTATCTGCATGAAACTTTCCCAAAAGTTGTCTTTCTATTGCAGGTAGTATATAAGTCGGAACGAGCCGGATCGGACGACTATAGCATATAGCTCCCATAGGAACAATCGGAAAAATAAATGAAAAAAAATTATAACTTTGCTGTTTTTTAATTTTTTGTTTAGTTCTTCGACATATAGTAATGGTTAAATATTTCCGATTTACGGTTTAAATTTCATCAAAATCGGTCGACTATAGCATATAGCTCCCATAGGAACAATCGGAAAAATAAATGAAAAAAATTATAACTTTTCTGTTTTTTAATTTTTTGTTTCGTTCTTCGAGATATAGTAATGGTTAAATATTTCAGAATTATGTTTTAAATTTCATCAAAATCGGACGACTATAGCATATAGCTCCCATAGGAACAATCGGAAAAATAAATGAAAAAAAATTATAACTTTTCTGTTTTTTAATTTTTTGTTTAGTTCTTCGACATATAGCAATGTTTAATTATTTCAGAATTATGTTTTAAATTTTATCAAAATCGGACGTCTATAGCATATAGCTCCCATAGAAATAATAAAAATATATAAAATAACTATCTAATAATTGAGCTGCAAATCATCATAGTTTCAATGTTTTTCAGCATATACTCAAGTAAATCATAATTTAAATGTTTTCAAAAGTATTTAATTCATGCAATAGCTGCAAGGGTATATGAACTTCGGCTTGCCGAAGTTTGCTTTCTTTCTTGTTTAATTTTTTTTTAGTGCTTCGAGATATGGTAATGGTTAAATTTTTCAGAATTACGGTTTAAATTTCATAGAAATCGGACGACTATAGCATATAGCTCCCATAGGAACAATCGTATAGCTGCCATAGGAACTATCGAATAATTAAACTGCAAATCATCATAGCTTCAATGTTTTTAAACATACACGCAAGTAAATCATAATTTTAACGTTTTCAAGAGTATTTATTTTTTGAATAAGCTGCAGGGGTTATATGAACTTTGGGTTGCCGAAGTTTGCTTCCTTTCTTGTTTTAGAATGACTTATTTGCTGGTAGCATAGACTGCCCATTACTTCTATTATTACAATTGATTTTTCTATGCCATGTAGGCCGTTACGTTCTTTTGAACCATTTTTAAGAAGAAGCCTTCGGGGCCAATGAGATTCTCTGCCGAACCATGCGCGTATATAAAATATTACCTGCTATCATGCGGTTTCGCTTTAGCCGTAATAAAAGGGCAATTCGTAACCAACTATCTGAACATCTGAATTTCTGCATTACTACTTTTGCGAAATTGGTTCGGGTTTATATTTTATACTATTGTCCATTTTGCTGCTTAAACATTTAATTTGGAAACCTTATTTGATATTTTTATGCTGATATATCTCGTAAACCGAGAGAAATCATTTTATTGTTCTTTCAGCAAACTTGAACATATCGAATGGGTGAAAAAATGCGGACAAAATTTCATCTTGTGCCTCAATTTCGAAAAACTTTTTAACAATTAAAAGTTAAAAAGAACAACGAAAGGTTACAGCAAATGTCCAAATTAAATGCGGTCTATAGTTGAAAAAATACAAAAAGGAGCGACACAATTTGTTTAGTGCGGAATTCACAAAGGTGTTTTGTGCATATTTCAATGAGCCTGATTAATTTTCTGAAGTTGTACACCGTGTGTAAAAAATGCTACCTAACACTTTTGGATTGGAAACATCTGAAACAAGAAAGGAAGCAAACTTCGGCAAGCTGAAGTTTTCATACCCTATTGCAAAAAGGAATAAGTCTTTAAAACATCTAACTTTCTATTTATATGCGTATATGCTAAAAACATTAATGCTATAATGATTTTCAGCTACATATTCGATCGTTCCTATGTCAGCTATTATATATCGTTTTCCGATTTCAATAAAATTAAAAGCGTAATTCTGTGATTAAAAGAACTAAAACAAAAAATTGACAATTAAAAAGGTTTAAATATGTTGTTCACTTATTTTTTAATATTCCGTTTGTTTCCATAGAAGCTATATGACATAGTCGTCAGGTTTTAATCAAATTTAAACCGTCATTCTGAAAAATTAAACCATAGCTACATTTTGAAAAAATATAAAAAAAAATTTAAAAAATTAAAGCTATAATTTTCTTGCTATTTTGTTCCCGATTGTTTCTATGTGCAATGCAATTGCAATGGGAAGACAACTTTTGGGAAAGTTTCATGCAGATAGCTTAAAACTAAGAGACTAGTTTGCGTAGAAACGGACGGACTGACGGACGGACGGACAGACAGGCGGACAGATGGACGGACAGACGTACATGACCAAATCGACTGTTCTAGTGATGCTGATCAAGAATATATAAGCTTTATAGGGTCTGAAATGTATTCTTTACTGCGTTGCAAACTTCTGAAAATATAACACCCTCTGCAATGGTATAAAAAGCACATTTTCTTTTTATGAAGCCAGTAATTTGGGTAACCATACATAATGCATCTAGCTGTTAAGCATGCATGTCATTTCGTTCAATAATGTTCGTTCATATATGATAAATAAATATATGATAAGACCTTTTTAGGCATACTTTCAAAATATCATGACAATCCAATCAGTAGTTTACATAGTGCTGTAAGCAATTTCTTGATTTATCATTGCTTTTTGATGAAAAAAAATATGTTGTTCAATGCCAGGAAGGCTTGAAAATCATTATTTGGACTCTGCTCCAACATTATAACCCATTTGTTATTGGTATGCTGAGCTTTAAAGAGGTCGTTCAGACACCGATGACGCTGAGCGCGCTGGACGGCGAAATGAGGCAAATCACTGAAAATCATTATGGACAACCGTAAAGTTCAAGTGAGGGAGATTGCTGACATTTTGAATATAATAGCAGGCAGATTGTTTATTATTTAGACAATGCTCGGGGTCACAAGTCGATGAAAACGATGGCAAAAATTCATGAATTGGATTACGAATTGCTGCAGCACCCACCGTATTCTCCAGATCTGGCCCCAGCGTCTACTGACCCTTCGCAGAACTCAAAAATTTTATTCATGGTAAAAACTTGCCTCTAATAAGGCAGTAATCGCCGAATCTGAAGAATATTTTGAAGGCCTCGACAAATCGTGACATAAAAGTGGTATAGAAAGATTGAAAAAGTGTTGGATTGATTGTATCGTCCTATAAGAGGAGGACTATGTTGATGAATAAAAAGGAATTTTGCCGAAAAATGTGTTTCAATATGTTAGTTGGGAGACTTTTTGAACGAAGTGTTAGTTCTTCTCATGGCTTAAAAAAAAATGAAGTTAAATAAAAAGAAAACTATATACATATATACGCTTTTACTGCTGGACTTCGAGTGTTTTAAAACCTATAACCTATAGAAACTAAAAAATCGTGTACAGCCAGACGAGATATAGAATAAAGTTTATAGTTTAACGTATTTTTATGAATCAATTATTAATCAATGTATCAATGAGTTACAAAATAATAGTTGAAGCAAAAAAATGGATAATAGCATAAAATATAAACCCGAACCAATTTAGCAAAAATAATAATGCAGAGTTTCTAGTACTTTCAGAAGCAACTTTCAAAAATTGGTTCAGAATTT